CCTCGCTCGTACAGGCAGACATTCCACTGTTTGGGCTAGCCGTAATAGTTCGGTGTTAGCTGAACTGTGATGTATTCACTATTCAAGGTGCATTTGTGGTTGTGACTTGTAGTTGTGATTATCATGTTAGTCTGTCAGTCTGATGAATAACTGTCTTGAATATTGACTGTTGTGTCTGTGTGTGTGTCTGTGTCTGTCTGTGTGTCTGTGTGTGTGTGTTGTGTGTGTGTGTGTGTGTGTGCGTGCGTGCGTGCGTGCGTGCGTGCGTGCGTGCGTGTCGTGTGTGTGGTGTGTGCGCGCCCCCGCGAGTGTGTATTAGCTACTGTGCTTGTGTGTACATTTGAGGAAACAGCCCTGGAAAAAAGTCGCCCGTGGAAAGTGGAAAAAGAGCCCTGGAAAATGAAAAAGTAGCCCCCGAAATTTTGGGGGGGTTTGCAAAAAGAGCTCCGGAAAGAAAAAAATTAATTTTTTCACTGGTATCCATACAGCGCTGTACTTAAACGGCAGGGGTTGTCTATATTCAGGCCGATATGTCGTACCCAAACTTGGAATCTGCACAATCTCGAGATTGTGCAATGATTGTGCTGCCCAAACTGCGGATTCCCTAGTTTGGCTGACCAATCTCAAGATTGGGCAAACTGAAAACAGTCAGTGATTCAACAACCGCTCATACTCATAGTGAGTGTGTGGCGTGCGTGGTGCAAACTATTAGAAAGAGATTTAGAAATTTATCTCATATTTATCCAATTATTTATTATAATCATTTAATATTTATACAAAGGTGCCAAACACATTGAGGAAAGAAAGTATACGACCTTATAATTATATAGTTAGATTATAACATTTGAAATCCTAATAATCATATGTTTGTGTCTGACATGTAGCTCTGTTTACTCTGTTGCCCAATCTCAAGATTGATTGCCCAAACTGCGGATGCGCGTGAAATTCCAAGTTTGTGCAAGATTCAAGTTTGGCACAACAGGTACAGGAGATAATTTGCATATTTTGTCACGTGGTTGTGTTATAACCAATCAGATGTAATCGCGGTGGAGAAGAGGGGAGAAGCTGGTGGAGAAGGAGGAGGGGGAGAAGGGTGAAGGTGGTGGAGGAGGGGGAGAAGCTGGTGGAGAAGGATGAGGGGAGAAGCTGGTGGAGGAGGAGGAGGTGGTGGAGAAGGTGGCAGGGAGGTGCCCTTCTCCCTGGCACCACCTTCTCCCTTCTCCACCACCTTCTCCACCAGCTTCTCCCTTCTTCCTTCTTCATTCTCCACCAGCTTCTCCCTCCTCCTTCTCCACCAGCTTCTCCCCTCCTCCTTCTCACCACCTTTCCCTTCTCCCTCCTCTTTCTCCACCACCCCCTCCCCTCCTCCTTCTCCACCAGCTTCTCCCGCCTCCTCCCTTCTCCCCTTCCTCCTTCTCCACCAGCTTCTCCCCTCCTCCTTCTCCACCACCTTCTCCCTTCCCTCCTCCTTCACCATTCTTCACAGCTGGAAGTGACGTCATGACACGCGATTATCATCTGAGATTGGTTATAACACAAACCACGTGATAAAATATGCAAATTATCTCCTGTACCGGCCTGAATATAGACAAACCCTAAGCGGCAGCGGTGTGAATCCATTTGGAAACAACATGGCGTCAAATCCTGAGTTGGGCAAACTCTCTGTATACAGGGACCCTAATAGTAATAGTAATACTAATAATAGTAATATAGACCCTATCAGCCTATGAGCAGTACTAGTAGTAGTACTGCGCTACTGTCAGTAAGGTCAGTAAGTATAGGTCTAGGAAGACTGTCCTGTCCTGTCCTGTCCTGTTCTAGGTAGTTTAGCATCTTGGATTTATTTAGCACATCTGTGAAAACACATTCGCTTGGTAATATTATAAACTAGGACTAGGACTAGGACTAGGACTAGGACTCGAGTAGGAATAGCCTCAATAGGATTGAGTGCCCACGCCGGTGCGGCTGGAAAGCTGTGGGAATGATTTTTACATTTTGTAAAAATAATTTGGCATATTTGACGATTACCTTCAACATATTGATAATGTCCACGTTAAACTTAAAGTCCCAAACACTCAAATAAAAACCGACGTATCACTGCCTGAAATTTTAACCTAAAAGATTTTGACCTAACGACTTGAACACTAGAAGTAGAACACGGTTGTGGTCCGAACGGGATCTCGCGATAATTTTGTAGCCGCAGAAAAAATGGAAAAAATCAAAAATTATTAAACTCAAACTGCATGCAGCGCCCCTTCGTACAACTCAGTATTCTATGATTTGCATGTTTGTTGGTGGACAAATGAATCAATGGCTGAATACGCAAAAATGTATCAAAGACAATGTTCGAGAATTAGGTATATTGGCAAGCATCCGAAAAATTCATGATAAATATTGAGCCACAGACTAGCGAGAACTTGGCGAGAGCCAGAGCGAGAGCGCCATCTGTCGTGGAGTTTGGTGTCAAAGTATAGGCATGCTGGGATATTTGTAAGAACTGCGCATGTCAGTCAAAAAGTAGAAAAACATGTAAAATGGTAATGTTACACTTTCAATGACTCTATATTATATATTTATAGTAATAGTGTGACATGTGATGCGTTCTTTCTCATACTGTTTAAAGCCCACAAAGTTTCATTTTCTATTCGTACAGGTACCTGTAAATTTAAATGTGTTAAATTATGAAGTCACGTAGAGTTCGCTTACGAAGTGACAAGTGTTACGACTAGGGCTAGGCCTACTCATAGACGTCACATAGGGTCTATGTCCCCCCAGGGTACTACCGGAACGTACCCTGGGTACGGTCCGGTATATCGGAACGTACCCTGGTAACTATTTGATATGGTTAGGGAGTAGGCGTAGGCGGCTCCCTAGACTCGTTAGTGGAGTAGGCGAGGTACGGTCCGGCATATTACTAAGGCCATGAGAATTGAGGTATGAGTTTACCGTCCACCGCCCGCATGCCGTCAGAGCCACCGCCGAAAATATTCATTATTTCAAAAGTATTTCATTATTTTCATTTTTAAATCATTAAAACCCAAGTTGTCCATTCAGAGCGATTAAAACATACGTCATTACCAATACAAAAACACTATAGCCGTATAGGGCCTATTTACATCCTTCATTGGGGTCTTTATCTCCCTCTGGCTCTTTGAGACCTTGGGTTTGGTTTTGGTTTAGGGCGCAAAAGCATGCTGACGTATCCTGAGTGCATCGACTTACAGCCCGATCCCGAAAAACGTGAACAATGGGTTAACTACAAATATTAAATGAAAAAAAGCCTCACTTTTCAAAATATCTCTGATGGTAAACTCATACCTCAATTCTCATGGCCTAATGAGTATTAGTATTACTAGATAGTACCAGGGTACCGGTACGTTCCGGTTTATACCGGACCGTACCCAGGCCCCCAGGGTACGTTCCAGCAATACCCTGGGGGACATAGACCCTTTCAGCACTAGTACTAGAGCCTACAACTAGGCCTAGTCGCATTTGGAACATAAGATGTGACCATTCCTTGGTTTGTAATCGAGTGATTAGAGATAACAGTGGAGGTGTTCGCGGTTAGTCCATTGATTAGGACGTCGGTTTGTAATTATTGGCCTACAATTAGTTAGGCGTAGGGTTATGTTTGGAAGATGGTCGGGGTCATGATCTGTCTTCTAATTGAAGGCTGTTGCAGCTGCAGGCTGTAGACTGTAGTTTTTGCACAATCCTGTTTTTGGGACCTCGTCACCTCGGAATATATAGTTCGCTTAAATGTGCTGAACTAACCCGAGGTGCTAAACTAGGATTGGGCTGTGGTTCGTCTCGGTGTCATTATGTTCTGGTCAGTGACGCTGTGTCATTGAACAAACCACTAATTATCCTCATTTATGTTCATCAACATCAGATATAGCAATCAGTTTACACTCACTGCAGCCCTAGTTCCCAACCGAGGGTACTAGTACCCCATGGGGGTACCAGCGAACACCACAGGGGGTACCTGGGAAGCCTCTTAGACAATTAAAAAAAAGTAGTGCTATATAATAATCAGCGGGTGATTCAGGCACATGGTACGTTTTCGCGGACAGACACTGATATAATATGAAACCTCATTGAAGCGCACGGAGCATATGGTGAGTGTCTTCCTATCTTGGATATGGACCGATTTAAGTGGTCTGATTGAATACTGAGCGCTCTCGGATTATCATTCAGTTTGGAGCACACTGCCGCCTAAAAAGCGTAAATACAATGATGATTATGTCAAGCTAGGATTTACATGTATAACTGGTAGTGATGGTGTTGAGAAGCCGCAATGTTTCTTGTGTGGAAAAACATTTTGTAATGATTATATGAAGCCGACAAGAATGAAGTTGCATCTCCAGACCGACCACCCTCTTCGCATCAATGATTCGGCTGATCAGTTTCGTCAGAAGAAGGCCAGATTCGCGACTGCCGGTAAGCTAACGACGGGCCACGGGTTTGTGCAAACCCAAAAGCTGGCCCTTGAAGCGTCTTATTGTGTGGCCTATCGAATAGCAAAAGTGAAAAAACCTCACACAATTGGGGAAACCCTGATCAAGCCATGCGCCCTGGAAATGGTCCAACTCATGTGCGGCGAGCAGCATTGCAAAGGTCTTGAAACCATCCCACTGTCGGATAATGTCATCAAACGCCGCATCGATGACATAGCGGACGACATACTCATTTCGGAAATCAAAGCCAGTCTGTACAAAATAAGTGTGAAATTGGACGAGTCTACAGACTGCGCTCAATGTAGCCAGTTGCTAGTATTTGTGCGATATATGCATGAATGTGACATAAAGGAAGAATTCCTTTTCAGCGAACCCCTCGTCACCACCACAAAAGCAACGGATGTTCTGGATCTGGTTACCACATTCATGGACAAGCACAATATTCCAATGGATAAGCTGGGATCTATGTGCACTGACGGTGCGCCAGCGATGCTTGGCAATAAGTCGGGATTTTGTGCATTGGTCAAAAGGTTGGTACCGGACGTAACCATTACCCACTGTGTCTTATACTGCCATGCCCTTGCATCCAAAAGTCTACCACAGGATTTCAAGGACATTATGACGAACGTAGTCTCGGTTGTGAATTTCATACATAGTCGAGCTTCGAACCACTGTCAGACTATTCCTAGCCCTTTGCAAAGAGATGGGGAGCGAGCACGAAGTTCTGCTCTATCACACCGAGGTGCGATGGTTATCCCGGGGACGTGTGTCTTCACAAGAGTATACGAACTTAGAAAAGAAATTGATTTGTTTTTGCGCGACAAAGGTAATACGCTGCATGAAAAATTGAGCGATAATGACTTCATTACTTCACTGGCATATATGTCTGACGTATTCACATTGCTCAATGAGCTCAATACTTTGCTTCAAGGCCGTCAAGTTACATTCATTGACGCGCAAGAGAAGATAGCGAGCTTCAAACAAAATCTACAGCTTTGGAAGCGACGCACAGACAGAGAAAACTATGCCAGTTTCCCAACTCTAGACAGCTATTTGGAGGAAATGGACGATGGACAGCTATCAGGTTCCGTATCCTCATCAATCAGTAGCCACCTAGAAAGTCTGGCCAATTCATTCGATGGATATTTTCGAGATCCCGTCGAAGAGCAATCCGCTGTCCGAAATTGGATCCGAAATCCGTTCCTCTGCGATTTGGTTGATGATCAGAATGTGTTCAAAGAGAACCTCATCGACATTATTCCTAAACAGCCACTGAAGCGCCTCTTAGAAACAACGTCAGTAACTGAATTTTGGTGCAGTCAGCAGATACGCGAGGCCTACCCGGCTATGGCTCGAGAAGCTATTTCCGTTCTAGTTATGTTTGTAACCAGCTACCTGTGTGAAGCAGGCTTTTCAACGATGGTTACAATCAAGACAAAAGCCCGTAACCGCCTTGACATCCGCGGAAACATGAGAGTCAGTCTGTCAAAAACTGAACTGCGGTTCAAAAAGTTAGTTTCTGCCATGCAGCAGCAGTCTTCTCATTGAACTGTCGTTTAGTGCACAGTGCGCTTGATTGGAAAAATTCGCCGTGCGACTGCATTTTAATAAAACATAAACATGTCAAAATATTCATGACAATACATCAGTGTTGGTTCTTCATTTTGCTTATATGGTGGGCGAAGGGGTATCAGGAGATAGCGTAAAAAAATTAGTGGTACGGGGAGTCCACAAGGTTGGGAACCACGTTTAGAGCAATATAACATTCGTGGCAACTGAGTGTAGCTTGAACACTTCTGGTTTGAGTTCCAGTCCTGACAAGTCACAAATTTTGAGTGCACCTGGTAATAATCCTTTACTATCAGTGCCCCTATAACTAGGAGCAATGATACTATGCATTACTTACCATCCCAGGGTTCTCCAAGAGCACTTATAGCCTGGTGGCCCGCCAGGCTATAGTCGAGCCCCGCCATCCTAAAATGCACCCGCCACTCTAAATATCATAGCCGCCATGCTAAATATCATAGCCCCCGGACCCCCCTAGCACGCAAACCGCCTTCGGCGATTTACAACTAGGACCGTAAAGGCAGCACCCCCATGCTATAATGAAAAAGCTTGGAGAACCCTGCATCCACACAATATAGAGGTGTGCAGTTGTTAAAGGAATCGGGTAAAGAATTAATGATGTGTGTTACGTTCCGTGCGTGTTAACCAATATTTAACTCTGCATCTTTTTCATACGCTCCAAATTTATTACTCAACACGTGATGTAGCTGCACACGTGCAGGTAAAACTGTAAATACAAAATAATGCACACTAAATATTACGTCGCTCATGTCATGTAATGTTCATTATATCCAACGTTATATAATAAAGATCCAAATTATAAGAAATTAGGCGAGAACCAAGAGACAATACTTACAATGTATGGTGCATCGTGGAAAAAATGCGCGGGCACACGCGAACGTATAAATACGGCTCAAGCAGCAAAAGGGCACGCGCCACGCACAACACCCGCTTTTATAACGCGACAAGGAAACCCGCGAGTCACATGACTAAAACATAATGTAAACGAGCAGAACGCAGCCTAGCTGAACTGCTTAAAATACCGCGTGAAATAAGAACTGACAGTGCAAGAAATACTACAGTATGACACGCTTAGAAGAAATGATGAGAAGAAATAACAATGTGAATAAGCATTTAAAGCCACGATTTCAAAAATAATTTCCGACCTGTCTCGTGTCTTTGCCACTTTTACGGTACTTACCATTATTGCTTGAGTAAGAGCAACTGTCTAGACTAGAGTAATGCTAACATTCCTTAGAACATTCGTACTTAGCTATATTCACAAAAACATGCACGATTCGCATTTTGATTACTCGTTTGGATTTCCGCTGCCATTTCTTGCGTACCTCAGGCACCGAATTAACTACACAGAATTAGGTGCCGTTTTGTTTGAATGAGGTACACTAAATACACTTGTTTTGAAGGCGCTATTTGCAAATTAATTGTCTCTATAATCAAATATGCCATGGTGTTATGTGTTCAATTCCAATTTTTTATGCTACAACAATATAAATTCTTAGTGTTTTTGAAGTTGGCGTAATCAGTACATATCCGTTATTAGGTGAGACAATATTTCGCTATATTTGTATCCCCCGCGACGACGTCGGCAGGGATACTATGGTTTCATGTCTCCCCAGCTGCCGCCGCAGACAATTTCCCCTTCGCCGCCTCTATAACTCGCCCCTAATTGACCTAGCGCTACCAAACTTGCGTATACTTACACATCTTGGGGAGAAAGGTGAGCACGCTCGCTACAAAACCAGGTCACTGCGACCTTTATTTACTTTACTTGACCTTGATCATATGTTCCCTTCGCTCTCTAACTCGGCCCCTAATTGAGCCTAGCGCTACCAAACTTGTTGATACTTAAACATCTTGGGGAGAAGCGAGCAGCGTACCAAAAACAGGTCACTGCGACCTTTATTTGACCTTTACTTGCCTTGATCATATTTCCTTCCGCTCTCTAACTCGGCCCCTAATTGACTAGCGCTACCAAACTTGGTATGCTTACACATCTTGGGGAGAAGGTGAGCAGGCGTACCAAAACCAGGTCACTGCGACCTTTTATTTGACCTTTACCTTGACCTTGATCATATTCCCTTTCGCTCTCTCTAACTCGGCCTAATTGACTAGCATCGCTACCAAACTTGCGATATACTTACAGATCTTGGGGAGAAGGTGAGCAGCGTACCAAAACCAGGTCACTGCACCTTTATTTGACTTTACCTGACCTTGATCATATTTCACTTCCGCTCTACTCGGCCCTAATTGACCTAGCGCTACCAAACTTGGTATACTTACACATCTTTGGGAGAAGGTGAGCAGCGTACCAAAACCAGATCACTGCGACCTTTATTTGAGACGTTTACCTTGACCTTGATCATATTTCCTTCGCCTCTCTAACTGGCCCCTAATTGACTAGCGCTACCAAACTTGGGTATACTTACAGATCTTGGGAGAAGGTGCCGCAGCGTACCAAAACAGGTCACTGCGACCTTATTTGACCTTACCTTGACCTTGATCATATTTCCCTTCCGCTCTCTAACTCGGTCCCTAATTGACCTAGCGGTACCAAACTTGGCTATACTTAACACATCTTGGGGAGAAGGTGCGCAGCATACCAAAACCAGGTCACTGCGACCTTTATTTGACCTTTACCTTGACTTTGATCATATTTCCCTTCCGCTCTATAACTCGGCCTTTAATTGACCTAGCGCTACCAAAAACCAGGTCACTACGACCTTTATTTGACCCCTTTGACCTTGATCATATTTCCCTTGCGCTCATAACTCGGCCTCTAATTGACCTAGCGCTACCAAACTTGGTATACTTACACATCTTGGGGAGAAGGTGTGTCACTACCAAAACCAGGTCACTACGGACATTTATTTGACCTTTACTTGACATTGATCATATTTTCCTTTTCGCTCTATAACTCGGGCCCCTAATTGACCTAGCGCTACCAAACTTGCTATACTTACACATCTTGGGGAGAATGTGTGTTGCGTACCAAAACCAGGTCACTGCAGCTTTTATTTGACCTTGACCTTGACCTTGATCATATTTCCCTTCCGCTCTATAACTCGGCCCCTAATTGACCTAGCGGTACCAAACTTGGTATACTTACACATCTTGGGGAGAAGGTGTGTTGCGTACCGAAACCAGGTCACTGCAACCTTTATTTCACATTGACCTTGACCTTGACCGCCATCATATTTCCCTTCCACTCTATAACTCGGCCCCTAATTGACCTAGCTTGACCAAACTTCGTATACTTACACATGATCTTGGGGAGAACACGGGAGATACATGTAGTTGGCGACAACTGCCCTTTCTAGTTTTTTCCAGATTTTGCGTTTCTAAGCAATGATTATGGAAGTTAATGGAAGTTAATGATATACACACCCCTAACCTCAACACTAATTTGGTAACCTAAACCTCTCACGGACTTGTATACGTTAGGGGTATATATGTATATATATGTTATAGGCCTTGTGTGGACTAGACAGAAAGCGAGACTGTGAAGTTGCATATATATAAAGTTTAACAAAAGTCTTTGATTATGTCACTAAATTGTCATATTCTAATCATTTGGATTTATGCTAAAGGTTTATGTTTAATTAAGTAATTGGAGATTCCGTATTTTATGGGTTGTTAGTTTGTTACACAATGTAAATGTACAAATTTACCTGATATTTAATTCGTTCCTCCCAAATTGCCTAATTAATTAAACTGTAATATGACTAAATGCAATTAGCTGATAATTTATCGGCAGTTTTATACTGTGTGTACGTAAGATGTGGCCAAAAAATTTTATGTTTTATTTTTTAGCATAAGCTAAAATCATCCCAGAAGGAGAAGGTTCGGCAGTTCATAGCTTTCACCAACACTGGAGAGAAGACTGCCATCTTCTGTTTGACACAGCATGACTGGAAACTCGACATTGCATCTGATAACTACTTCCAGAACCCTGACGGATACTACCGGGAACCAAAGTCCAGTGTCGACAAGAAAAAACTAGATCATCTTTTTAATAAATATAAAGGTAAACTTTTGCTTCATCTTAAAATGATTAACATTAAAATATGTGTGTATAATGTCGAGATATACAAAGAGATAATGCAGCATATGTTTGCTAGTTGGCATTTTGCAGTGCCTCCAAATGAATAATATATTTTGTTGTGGTTTATGAGATTTTGAAAGAGGTAGCGTGGTGTATTACCACTAATTGCAATAAGTATTTATGATACAATTGCATTAGGCACTGTATTAATTGTTGGTTAGTTTTAATTTTGAGATAAATGTGGCCACGATTATGACTACAAGTTCAAATAACATTTCATCATCTCGTGTGATATGTCTAGGTAACAATAGTCGTATATGATAGATGTACATTGGTAGTTTTTTTTTCAGTGCCTGTGGCACAGGCTGGCAATCCTGGACCCACTACAATTTACCTGATTTTCTCCCCAAAGATGTTCTCCCTATGGATAGAAAGATACCCACCTCTTAAAGTCTTTAGAAAAAAAAACCACTATTCTCGTACGTTATAGATCCGCACGAAGATGACAAGATGACGGCCGACGGAATCATGCGGTTCCTTGAGGACCTGAACCTGAGCCCTGAGAGCAAGCTAGTTCTCATCATGGCGTGGAAGTTCAAGGCTCAAGCGCAGTGCGAATTCACGAAAGAAGAGTTTCTCCAAGGGATGATAGAAATAAGGTACATGCACCGGTGTCGGATGGTTCACGCAGCTACCTGTCACCGGCTTGCTAGCATCCTGATTGTCATGTAGATTAGCAGTTTGTGGAAAACTACTGTTATGTCGGTCGAGGTAAAGGTTGTGTGCAGAATTGACCTCTCGTTTATTCTTGGAATTTGTGTAGCTAGCTATCAGTGTCTCACATCAAACTAGTATTTTTCGAGTATCAATTGGCAGTGCATGCTTTATAATTGAAATAATCAAGACTTATTCTGTACTATTTAGTACGCATCGAAAATATAAAAGTTGAGTTGATCGCATTGATGGCACTTTCCAGGGCTTGTGGTAGTGTTTGGTTATTGTAGTGGTTGGAAATGAAATACTACTCCTTTATCCATCTGATCTTACATTTACAGTTGTGATACATTAGAAAAGCTAAAGAGGCAACTGCCACATCTAGAACAGGATCTTCGAGATCAGCATAAGTTTAAAGATTTCTATAGTTTTACGTTTAACTATGCGAAAAATCCAGGACAGAAAGGATTAGGTAAGAGACTTGTGAAAATCATGAAAACGCATGTACTAGCATAAATAGTATTCATAATGCCATGCTAAAATGCAATAGAGTTCCTGACTAATGAATGTGGTTTGTTCTAAAATTTTGTTCTTATGGCCATTGTCACCATGTTATTAGTACACATTTTGATGCAATTCACGTAATAATATATTCCCCGAAACTCGTGCTGTGCTCCACCGTATGGCATGAGCATTCATACCTAGATTGATTCATCATTGTTGTAAATGCAGATTAATGCTTTTTGCTTACGTCAAAGGATGTGGGACCAGTTTAGCCATCACCAGCAGTTTTAAGCCTGAGAATCGATGTACAGGATAAACTTAATGGAATCTTGTGTTTTACTTTTACATTTGGTTTAACGTTTATAATTCTAAACATTCTAAACATCTTTTATCACGGCGCTGTTCAAAGTGGCAATATGGTCGCTTTATGGAGTGCTGAACCACTTGATAGTTAGTTGCTTGTGCATGCCAGGTTCACATTGCTGCCTTCCTTATGTGCAGCACCCAGAGCCTAAAATCAATACATACAAAATAGTTCAACATGCTGTTCATACACTGAAAAATGATTAGGCATTTTTAGCTCAGCTGACAAAGTCAGATGCAGCTTGTAGAATTGTCCGTGCGTCCGTCAACAGTTGGGCACAAATCTTAACCGCTCTACGTACGGTCTTTATATTCGGGACGTCGGAGGGGGGGATCGCGAAAAGGACTCGGGGATGTCGAATTTGGGGTCAAGGGTCAAAGGTCAAGGTGTGTCAATGGAGGGGGAATATTTCCCCCTTAACTTAAGGTAAAGGAGGAAATACGTAATTGCGGCACAAATCTCAACGGCTTGACCTACGCTCTTAATATTCGATGTATAGTGTGATGGGGAGGAAACCAATCACCAGTGTGAAATTGGAGTTCACAGGTCAAAGGGCAGTTGGGGAAAGGTTAGATATCAGACATTTTCTGAGGACATGGTCTAACGGACAGAGTGCAAAACTTTTTTGTTTTAGCGCTGACCTACCATTTTTATCACTTTTTTGAAAGGACCATGAAATGTGCTTTCCGCTGACGTGCGAAGAGTAAGTGTCTGATAACCTTTTGACCCTCAAGAGGAGGGGTAAACACGGATTTGTTGACTGTTAACAAAGGACTGAACTGCTTTTGTTATTAGAGCCCCCTCCCCCTCCCACACCACCCTCCCCCACCCTCCTCCCACCACCACCACTACGCTCGCGCTCGACGCATATCCATGATAACATGTTAATATATTGAAGTCATTAAAGTTACACAGGTGTATTTTTATTACTGTACTACCGGTATAGCAAAGCCTATCATAGATTTTATATCTGTATTAGTAGTATCCTAGATATATGCTCTGAGCGCGAACGCGGTGGCGGGAGGGCGCACTTGATTCGGTTGCCAGTGAGTTTATCAGAAGAATACCCGGCTACAGTACACATCAGTTGAGCGCTGTCGCTCTGCGGCACTTGTTTGTACACGTCTGCCACTCTGTTCTACAAAGAACTAAAAATAAGCTCTCATTCCTTCGTGACCTGCACCCCCGCCCTAAGAGTAGTATGTTTTTTTTGTATTTTTTTCGGAAGAGCCCTTGATGCTATAGGAAGTACCTCACATTGACATTTTGCCATGCTCTTTTGATTGCAGATCTTGATATGGCAATAGCATACTGGACAATAGTGCTCACGGGACGATTCAAGTTCTTAGATCTCTGGTGTCGGTTTCTTATGGTGAGTATGTTACTGTTAGTGTACTTTTAGATTATACTTATTCCCACAGCTAAATATAGGAAGAATTGTTTCCTGACAATTATACGGGTTTGACAAAAATTTTGCCACCGTTTTATTTCATTACACGGGCAAAGTTGTTTAAGTAATTTCTTATGAATGTGTAGAATGAATTTGTTGTGAATGTGTAGAATGAATTTGTTGTAAATGTGTAGAATGAATTTGTTGTGAATGTGTAGAATGAATTTGTTGTAAATGTGTAGAATGAATTTGTTGTAAATGTGTAGAATGAATTTGTTGTGAATGAATAGGGAAATTATTATTATTTGATCCATGGTGTGTTTCTGATGTGAGAACCATCTAAACTAAATATCACGAAATCCATTAAGGAGTTGCATCCACACCATCAGTTCGCTCCTATTTAATCGCACCACCTAAAATCTACCTGTGATTGGTGATGGCCCTGGACATACTTGTTTCCCAATCTATAGATCTATCACCACTATTCCAAATATATTGTAAAAACCCATGTGTCACACAGTGTTTGTCTATATCACTGCTTGATGAACATAACTGGTCTGATGTTAGGATGAAGGTATCGCCCATTGATCACTAGTAGTATGATATTATGTGGATTTGTAATGTAGGCAGTATGTGTGTATAATTCGTACTTTGTATTTTTTTCCATTCAGGAGCATCATAAGAGATCAATTCCAAAAGACACGTGGAACTTGTTGTTAGACTTTAGTAATATGATAGATGAAGCCATGAGCAACTATGATGAAGAAGGTATGAGAATGTTTCCACGTTTAACCTGTACCATTTTCTATGCCAGCGGTAAAATAAGGGAGAAAATATCTCGTAACAACAAGCTGCATTCTTATATTTCTAACTTTATTTTACTTTTACATCATGATTTTATTTTTGTTATCATGAGTTTGTCAGGTAATTTATTGCAGTACGTTCATTTTTCAATTCTTAGAATTTTCACTCAGAAGCGTAGATATCCGGAATGTTTTCATCATCAAATGGCATTTTTGCAAATGTGCTTTTACTTCATGGACTTGTTATGAAATTGTTGCTAACTACGGAATTTCTTTATTTTGTTCAACGTGCATGCACACACACGTACACCCTCATATTTTGAGCTTCCTCTCACTTATATATTTTCACATTTTATTTATCACAGGAGCGTGGCCAGTCTTGATAGATGACTTTGTGGAGTGGGCACGACCTCTCTTGTCTACACAGAGCAGTAGGATGACAAACGTTTGACACATGCTTGCCATCCGACACCCATTACCAACCGTAGTAATGTATTTAGCCAAGTCTATTGTTTGCCAGGTGAATAAAGTGAAACTTTCGTTTCTGACGTGAGCACTTTTTAAATGTAAAGAATTGTGAAGTGGGAGAAATGCAGCAGCAGCAGCAGCAGCAGCAGCAGCAGGAGGCAGTGCTTTTATGAGTGAACTTTGCACATTGCGCTGTCCTGCATAGCACGGTCAACATCTGAATGTACTCGGTCCGTGTCGAAATGTGAACTGAACAGTTATAATCTCAACTGTCGAATTCGGCGTGCGTCATGTCCACCTGAGGTTTTGTTGACATTCGCAGCTTCGCTTCAGTGTCTTTGGCACGGCGTTTCGATCAAATGGTTATTCTCTGAGGCTCGTCATGCTAGGTCGGCCGTTACTAAGTGCAGCGACGAACTCGGCGGGAAGTGAAAGGAATGTTAAATATTATATTATATGCCGAGGAAACTGAGCCGAAGCTCAGCTGGCTTCATTCGGCTGCAACCAACGGTAGTTCGTCGTAGTGAATGGTCTGAACTGGTGAATAGTGTCACGTTCGCGTGTTCCGGCGTTCGAATGTCTTGCTAACATCCGTACGACGGATCCAGGGTTCTACGTGTAGAGCGGATGTTTCCACGCGAGGCAGTCGCATGTTTGCGTACGTTTGGTGGTACATGTTTGTGCCGTGTCACTGTAAACTAGGTGTGTAGGCACTAACATGGGAGGGAAACCGGCCGATAGACTGATCCAAACGAGGCACAAAACATTGAGCAGTGTCTGGGAACCCTTCCTTGATTTTTTGTACTGTAAACACAGCTTGTGCATAGTGCACACGTTATAACTGTGTACCCTACGCACATTCTAACTGTGCAACTTAAACACGTTCTGTGTACCCCACACACATATGTTACACACAGACTAACTGTGTACCTTACACTTATTCTAACTGTGTAACTTACACTAATTCTAACTGTGTAACTTACACTTATTCTAACTGTGTAACTTACACATGATTTCAGTGTGAGTTGTGTACACATTCTGTACTGACACTGTACGATTGTCAGTCAAAGGCGTTCGTTACACACAGCTGTTCTCCATCTTCATTGACAACTTGTCCATCTCTGTCACACTAACTGATTAATATCGATGACTAATATAGTAACACGTGATTCGAGCTGTAGCATGAGAAAACCGTAAATTTATATCTTGTTCTTTCGACTTCGATCACATGTTTGACGTAGGTCTGTCGCGGAAGGCCCATGTTTATACGTGCTGTGATAGACTCACGCAACAGCAGCAGCAGCTGCCATCTCCAGGCTGGTTTTCCCATTGAAACAACTGTTTTGTTACTGAGTAACTGAAGGCAGAGTAACACCAATGGGTGAAGGGGGAGCATTTCGCATGTTCACAAGATTTACATGAGAAAACGATGTTGTTATGAGTGTTTGGTCGCGTGTTACAGTTACATGCATTTTACGAAATGAGCAAGTACTTCTCTGTTTTTTTTAATTTTCTGTATGATAGTATGAGTGAATGTATAATGGTGAATAACTAGTGTAAATTTTAACTGATACGTATGTTGATTTACTTGTTACTGACTGTGCTTGTAGTTTATAGAATCTTTGAACACTATCTGAGATTGTTGTTACAGATGCTATTTTCGGGGGTGATGAGTAGTGGTAAACTTTTATGTTATCCTATCGTTTTTTCAGAGCACAGTGACACAGGCACTATTGGTTGATGGAATATTAGGTATTATTAACGTTTCCCCGGTGAGAATCACCAAATTATTAAAAAATTAAAGGATCAGGTAACCTCCCCAACTCCACCTGCATGCGCGTCAGTCAGTTTGAGGAGCTAACTGGTTTATATGCTGCACCCAGTATCAGCATCATCAGCCTTACCACGCAGAGCCGTAGCTAATGATGGGAGGGCAAGGGGACAGTTTCCCCCCAGACCAATGTATGTTCTATTTCATGGTCAATAGCCAATAACGAAGTGACCACGATTAACTGTCCAGGAACATCGCTGGTGGCTTCCCTCTCCCCTCCCTTCGCAAAACTTCGGGAAAGGTTGCCGCTTCCAAATAAGTCATTCCTCCCGCTCTAGACTAGGAAAGACAGTCTCTACAGGCCAGAGCTCTATGTTTCAACTTTATGCTGTGGCCAATATATTATGTATAGAGCATGGGCGCAGTAATACAACAGCTCATTTCGCATATGTTTTACATTACTATCCTAAAACTTCTTCTTCTTCTTCTTTTTCTTCTTCTTCTTCTTCTTCTTCTTCTTCTTCTTCTTCTTCTTCTTTTTCTTCTTCTTCTTCTTTTTCTTCTTCTTCTTCTTCTTCTTCTTCTTCTTCTTCTTCTTCTTCTTCTTCTTCGTCTTCTTCTTATTTGTTGGATGTGTGGTATGGCAAGCATCTGTGGGAAATGCCGGATGACTGCTTCTATGTCATTGTAGTTGTGTATAGTTGTTATTTAAGACACGTGATTGTACACTGTTGTACCCGGTTCAGTTCAGACCATATCACTAGGTGAACGAAGCTAATGCAAGCAGTTAATATTGAAGGATAATTTTCTTGTATGTCTATATATATATATATATATATATATATATATATATATACAGCAGATATTCGCTCAGATGTACATTTATAAAAAAAAAGAAGGTTTTGCTGTCAGTTCACACATAATAGTGACAGCATCGGATACAGCATAGATAAACCCCAACTCGTTCCCAAGGAATAACCAATTCCTCACCTGTAAATTATTGCGTGAACAAATGATTGTTATTAACTAGATTAGGGCATTACGAGAGAGACCTGTGCAATTCGTAACGTCTTGTCGCATGCAGGTAGGTGTGTTTAGGTTATTAAACAGCTGGCAGTGTGAAATTACTTTTTTGTACTACATCGATGCCAGTGCCAGGTATACGAGGGGCGGTAATGTAATTAACGAAGTGCGGGGTTTCGGTAAGCTCTTGTAGGCGGAACAGCGTATGTTCCGTCACCTACCGTCGACACCTCTCATGCGTATGTATTATCTCGGATTTGTAATAAACTATTACGTGTAACGTTTCTTGTTCTGTGTTTAATGTTGCCCATACTATTCTTGGTTAAGAATGCGCGCGAGGTCAACGTCCTGATTGCGAGAAAGTCACAGCTCGGGATTAAACAACAAGCATGGAATAGAAGTATGCTTCGTCCGTCGTGTATATATATATATATATACACGCGCGCACGCACGCCAACAGATATAGTGAGGCAGGCAGTCTTGAAACACCACAGGGGTAGTTCTAGGTTTGTGTGCACCAAGGAGCTAAATATATTTAGCTCCTTGGTGTGCACAAGCAAACGCAACAGACCAACACAGCGGCATGGCGTTTGGTATTGGTATGGTGCGATTGGATAAACTTGTCACGTCGAGTTTAAATCAACGCGGATCAACCTATCGTGTTACTATTTATTACTAAGGAGCCGCGTTCGTTTTGCATATAAGCATGCCGGCCAAGAATTGTATACGAAATGTCATGAACGTGAGAACATTTTCGTCCGTAGCACCAGGGGGCGCTCGACAGTTGGAAGTTGGACTGAATCAGGCACCCGGCAGATAGATGCGATATGATATGACTACTAGGCACTTAGGATATGACTACTAGGCACTTAAAAAAAAAAAACCTAACCCTAACCCTAACCCTAAAAAAAAAAAAAAATTAAATTAAAGTGCCTAGTAGTCATATCATATCGCATCTTTCTGCCAACACCCTGAATCAGAGCCACTGATCTCTATATTTAACTTGGTATATAGAGATCAGTGATCAGAGCACGCATATCAATATTGAATTTGAAATACGTGCTCTGACTGCATGAATACTGAGAACAATATTATATATATATATTGTTCTCAGCATGAACATTGTCTAACCATAGATATATACAAACCAAGATATGTGTTTGTATACTATGGTCTAACTATTTTTATTATTATTATTTTATTTATTTAGGCAATTAAACGAGTATATTATTTCTTTGGAATAAACCATGAACCGTACGTGTTTATAAAATGATAAAACTGTGTGTTATAAAACTAAAACAAGGTTTGTGCGAACTTAGCTTCGGCTTAATTAGCATTTGCTATAGAGTAAATTATTCGTTCATCAACAGATTCTATATATCCACGCGCCCGTGGATTTATCTACGAAACTTACGGTGACTCAAGTCTGCATACACATTAACCTCGTCACCTCGTAAATATTAGTCTTCAAAGTCCAAGGGTCTATATCACTGATCTCTATAATATAATCACTGATTATATTATAGAGATCAGTGGTCTATATCGAAGACGGAAAGTGACAACGTAGATCAAATAGACAGATCAACACTGCGGAGCGCAGTAGAACACCTTAGATTATGCAACCCTACTCTTGTTGGGTTATTGTTGGGTTATTGTATCATTATTGTTGAGGAGGAGGAGGAGGAGGGGTATTGTTGTAGGAGGATTATTGTTAGGAGTAGATAGTAGAGATAGTACGTCTTCTATTATCTACTCCTGATTGTATCTATATAGAACACCCTTGCAATTTTTGCAATTGAAAATCCATTTAAAAAATTTGCAATTTACTAAAGAGGAAGGGAGCTAATTTCAATAGGGAATGACAGAAACAAAGAATCTAAATTAATGGGATCTTTTGAAGATGGCACGTGTCGACTACATTGAGATACTTATTCTCCAAAGAAAAAAAGTTTGGTGTAGCATTTGCAGAAAAGTATGAATTAAAATTTTGTATTCTATACAGATATCTGTATATTTGTAAAACAACTTAATTAATACCAAAAACAAGAGCATTGCATGAGACGTTGACGATACCACAGCCACCGCTAATGCGTATTACAAAGGATTGTGGGCCGCTGAGTCAAAGGTCATAACAACGATAACAGAATGGTGTGTTGTTTGTATCTGGCCGTCGACCGCGGCAGACCAGCTTAACTTTGTTGTGCACACGACTTCCTGTGACCGTATGATTCCGAAGTAGAGTTGGTGAGTAGTTTGATATAAGTACTATATTCTGTTCGCGTGTGCATTTTGTCATATTGCTTTGCTACTCAGGTGAGATATAAATCCCTAGGCCCGAAACTATTCCGCAGACTACTCGTTTCTCGCTTTTTGATTTTCTGGCACTCGGCCACAGGATCTTGAGCATAGCCACAGGCACAGGGACTACGTCCATGTCCGTACAGGTCGTACATTGTACCGACGTGAGTAGGTGGTACGGTAAGGTGGTAATACAATTTAAGTTCTATCTTATACGAGAATATCCCACAATTTTGGCCGGACGACTGACGTAACGTTTGTTACGGCAGCGGTAATCCGAGTTTCCTCTGCCTCTGGCTCTGACCGGCGCAAATCCACTTTAGGCACCTTAGGTATCACGAAGTGATGCACAGATTTCTGTGTATCATCAACTGATGCACAGACTTTCCGTATATCAAGGAATGATGCAAAAACCCTAACCCTAACCCTAAGTCATAAAGTATAACCTTAGGCTTAGGTATCACGAAGTGTGTTAGGGTTAGGGCTAGGGTTAGGGTTAGGGTTTTTGCATCATTCCTTCATATACGGAAAGTCTGTGCATCAGTTGATGATACACAGAAATCTGTGCATCACTTCGTGATACCTAAGGTGCCTAAAGTGGATTTGCACCGCTCTGACCAATGCCCTCGCCGACGACTTGGTGGATTTGGTGTGGGTTTTGAGATCACCATGGACTACGGCAGCGGTTGCAACTATAGTCAGTGTGAGTGTAGCTTTACTTTAGCCTTTAGACTTTAGTAGTACTATAGCCTATAGGCTATAGCTCTAGTAGGCCTACTAATATTATAGCCCGCGTACAGTTGCCGCAGGGCTATAGAACATTTTATGCCAGGTTTCGTAACGGCACCTGTCCCCCAATGCTTCCACGAAAATGGCTCACAAAATGCAGAATGATCGGGCTTTTTAACACTTATTTATCTACATGGACATCTCACCTATCTTTTTTAACATTTTCCACAACTTTACACCCTGTATTTATGCATTTATTCCTCAAAGTGCTAGCACTACTTGCATTTCGTTTTCAAATGGTGTGTACACGCGTGATGTCACCCGAAATGTAGACAAAACACATGGGCAACTATGATGCAGCCTATTACATTTCGGGTGACGTCACGCGTGTACACGACAGCATTTGAAAACGAAACGCAAGTAGTGCTAGCACTTTGAGGAATAAATGCATAAATACAGGGTGTAAAGTTGTGGAAAGTGTTCAAAAAGATAGATGAGATGTCTATGTAGATAAATAAGTGTTAAAAAGCCTGATCATTCTGCATTTTGTGAGCCATTTTTCTTGGAAGCATTGGTGGAAAGTTGCAGTTACGAAACCTGGCATAAAATGTTCTATAGCCTTGCGGCAACTGTACACGGGCTATAGTACTAGAGCTATAGCCCTTATACTAGCATCTCGGATTAGTTTAGCACATATACAAACTATTCATAAAGGGGTCCTAAAGTTAAAACTAGGATTGAGCATCCCCTGTTGCCACATGCCAGTGGCAACAAGGGCTATAGCAGTGTTTCCCCTGCATTGACACGAGCGTGGCGGGTCGCCTCGCTCAAATTCTTAGCTGCCACACAGAAATTTGGGCCCTAGTCTAGGAGGCATGTGCCACAATACTTCATGTCTACAATAGAATATACAATGGGTTGTGTCTTCTAGACTAGCTCCGAATTTGTACAAAACACCACCTCGCTGACGAAAATCAATGTTCTTCCATAGAACAGTGCTAATAGAATGCACCAAAATAGCTTAGAATGCACCAAATTGCACCATTTTTTCAATTATTTTCCAGGGGGCATGCCCCCGGACCCCCCTAGCTGGGCGAGCACCACAGGTGCTCGCTTTGCTAGGACCTCGAAACGTACAAACACACCAAAACAAATATCCCACCTCACATACCTTTTTGGCCAGGGGAAACACTGCTATAGTAAGTACTACAGTCAGTACAGATAGCGCAACTACAATTTGCAAGGTACAAGTCCCTAGGTACAAATCCATGCCATTGAGGCACTGAGTTTGTGTAATGTGCATTGCAACTTTGGGCTAGTAATTCCAATATCATCACTGTGCAAACAGTTGGTACGAGTCATATAAAGTAACAGTTGTGGTAAAGCAGTAATGTAATAGTGGGACCATCTCAGAATTTGTTACTGCAGAGAGTGCAGACTGTAAACTGTATACAATTTGATCAGGCAGGCTTACAAAAGAATCAAGTAGCAAGCTATGGAAGTTTAGACAGAGATAAGTGAGATCATAAGTAGTGAGTAACAGTGCAGTAATGGTGGCATCTAGATAATGTTGTGCAGTGATTGTGGTGAGATCTATTCGAACCTAAGCCTCTAAATAATCGAGCCGCTTTCCATGAGCGAGTGATACGGGATTTAGGTCATACCCTTCAACATGGGAAATCCTATAATCTGGGGTAAATTCTCATTTTACCAAATGCCTGGTAGCTGTGATTGAACCAATGCTGTACTAGAATGATGGGAGTAAGTAGCTGAAACTGAAAGAACCAACCATGTATTGCAGGACCATTTACTGTTTTTAGACTGTAAACGTTTGGTCCCACATTTTTTGCGGGCTAGGCAGCAAGTAGTAAGAATGTCCAGCCACATTACTGCCTAAAGTCTAACACTTGTCTAGTAATTATAGCTTTAGTAGGTCTGCTGGCATCAACCTCATCATAGATTTCTTTTAATTTCTCTGTGCTTCTGTTGCTGGTATATGTGCAACTTTATTACCTCCGCCAAGGGGTTGGCAGGAGGTTATGTTTTCACCGGCGTGTGTTTGTTGGTTTGTGCGTGTACAGCCTAACTGGAAAAGTTATGGACGGATTGTCATAAAGTTTTCAGGATAGGTCAGAAATCGTCTAACTTAGAATTGATGAGATTTTGGTGGTGATCCGGAT